ATACCAAAAATCTACTTTTTTTTGCTGGATTAGGTCTTTTTTTTTATTTTTAAGTTTAAGTAATTTTAAATCGTTTTGTGAATTTTTAAATATTGATAAATAACATTTTTGCATGCTTATTGATAATACAGATTGTGTAGATGAAAAAATTAAAAATTAAGATACATAAATATAAATAGATTTATAAAATCAAAATATAACTAAAATTAATAATGATAAGTTTAGATAAATAGAATAAGAGAATATATATTAACAAAGGGATCTAAAATCTTAAAAATATATATAGTAATATTACGCAATTTAAAAACCATTAAATATCATAAATGCTATTGAAATAAAAAACTTTTAAGGATTTTGGTAAATAGACTAACCTCCAGTATTAAAAAATATAAATATTCATATCTAAAAGGGTTATTTTTATGGTATTGTAGGTAAAGTTGGAAGTGGGAAAACTTCTTTCCTATAACTTCTCTTAGAAGAAATGCCTTACTTTAAAGGATAAATAAGAAAAAAAGGTACTGTAGCTTATGTAGAATAAGAACCATATATTTTTTCAGGAAAATTTATTGATAATGTTACATTTGGTAAATAGTTTGATAAATAATTGTATGATGATGTTATTAATGTTTGCTAATTAAAAAATGACATTAATTAATTTATAAATAAAGATTAAACAGAAATAGGAGAAAGAGGAGTTACTTTAAGTGGAGGGTAAAAAGTAAGACTTTCCTTAGCTAGAGCATTATATAGCTAAAGTGATATCTATCTGCTAGATGATCCTTTGAGTGCTGTAGATTCTAAAGTAGCCAAAAAAATATATGATAAATGTATTAGATAATTTTTAAAAGATAAGACAGTTATTTTAGCGACTCATCAAATTCAATATACATAATAATGTGATGAAATATTTGTTTTTGATAATGGAGAAATAACTAATAAAGGAAATTTTTTAGAATTGTAAAATGTATTATTTAAAATGATAAGTAAATTTACTTTTATTGATAATAAAAAATATTCAGGTTCTGAGTATACGAATAAAAAAAGTAGTATTGATATAAAAAGTTAAAGTAATATAAAAATCTTAAAAAAAAAAATAGGAAAGTTATTTACAAATGAATTAGAAGAAAAAATAGCTGTAACATTTTAAACTTATAAAAAATATTTAAAAATGGTATAAAATATTCCTTTGATTATTTTTACAATTTTTCTTTTTATTATTAGTGAAGGATTATATACTAGTTTCTATTATTATTTTGGAACTTATTCAAATTAAGATGATAAAGATTAATTATTCTATGTTTCTGGTACTATTCTTTTTTTCTTCATTTTGGTATCTAATATTAAATGCATTCTAATTGCTTATTGTGTTAATTTAGCTAATCAAAACCTACATAGAATTATGGTTGATAGGATAATTAAAGCTTAAACATAATATTTTGATTAAACTCCTTCAGGGAGAATCATAAATAAATTTTCAACGGATATTGGAATTTTAGATAGTAATTTTAGTTGGATGCTGTTAGAAATATTAGAAATTATTCTATAATTTTTTAACATCTTTATTACTTTAGCTATATTTAACCCTTATATTTTGATTTTGATTCCTATTATAATTTTTACATTCAATTATATGATTAAATTTTCAAAACCTTTGATTTTGGCATCTAAAACATTGGATATAATAAACAGAAGTCCTGTGTTTACATTTTTTTCTAAAACAATTTAAGGCATAATTCATATTAGGATATATGAAAACGTAAAGATATTTTTAAATAAAATGGATTAATTAACCAATAACTCCACAAGAACAAATACCCTCTTTTGGAATGCTTCAAGGGCTATCTCTTTTAATTTATAAGCAATATTTTCATTCATTATATTAGTAGGATAAATTATAAATATATATACATTAGAAAAAAATAAAGATTTTGGTTAATTATTAATTTATCTATCTATAATAGTGGAATTGATAATTCAATTGTCAAGACATGCTATTAATTTTGATTCTTACATGAGCAATTTAGAAAGGGTACTTATTTTATGTAATTTACCTCACGAGGGTGAACTTAATAAAGAAGAAGATAATTTGTTATATTAAAATGTTTAATAAAAGCAACACAAATCCAAAATATAATATTGGATTTAAAAAGGTGAAATTGAATTCTAAAATGTGTTTATGAAATACAGACCGGAATTGAATTTTGTATTAAAAGGAACATCGTTTTGTATTAAATCAGGATAAAGTGTTGGATGTGTAGGAAGAACTGGAGCAGGTAAATCTTCATTATTGTAAGCTTTGTTTAGAATGACTAATATAGAGCCATAAAGTAAAATTCTTTTAGATGGAGTAGATATTCGTACTATCGGATTAAATACTCTTAGAAGCAGTATTAGCATAATTCCTTAAGCACCATTTTTATTTTCAGGAAACGTCCGTAAAAATATAGATCCTTTAAATTAATATTAGGATACTGAAGTTTGGGAAGCTTTATAATTAGCAGAATTGAAAGAAACAGTTTCATAACTAAAAGATGGATTAAATACTGATATGCCAAATGCATAAAGTTTATTTTCAACAGGTTAAAAATAACTTATTTGCTTAGCTAGAGCAATCCTTAAAAATAGTAAAATTCTAGTTTTAGATGAAGCCACAGCTAATGTTGATATGAAAACCGACGAAATTATATAAAATGCAATTAAAAAATAATTTATAGGTTGTGTTATTTTTAATATTGCTCATAGAATTAATACTATTGCTGATTATGATAAGGTTTTGGTTATGGATTAAGGGAAAGTTACAGAGTTTGAGGAACCATTTTTGCTTTTGGCTAACTCTATTAATGATGATAAAATTTCTAAAAACAGTATATTTGCATAAATGGTTAAAAGCACAGGTGAAGAAAACTCTGAAATTATCTTTAAAATTGCTAAGAAGAAATTTATAAGTGACAATACAAAAGAATATATTTGATAATTAATAGTTTTTTAAAAATTGTTATTTAAAAAATTTAATTTTTTTTAATTAAAATTAAATTTAATAAAAATAATTTTGTTTGAAATTATATTCAAATTGATTTATTTATTATAAATTAATTAAAAATTTATTTAAACAATATTATATTTATTATTAAACTTAATCAAAATATTTTTTATTGAACGTTAACATTAACAAATTTTTATTAAATAATAAAAATAATATAATTAAATAATGTTTTTTAAAATTTTTATAATTAAAATAAATTTAATAAATTATAATTAAATATTCTTATAAGTCAAAATTATATAAATATTTAATATTTTTTTTATTATATATATATTAGACATGTTTATAAAACTATTTTTTATAAGTTATAAAAATTTTAATATTTATATATAAAAAATTATTTTATTTTTTTAAATTATTATTATTTAAACTTATTTAGATAAAAAAATATAATTTAAAAAGAATATATATATCTATGGAATACAGCAAAATATTCTATACTTATTGTCAAATTCAAATTTAAATTCATTGAGAATAAGAAAAACAGAAAAAATAACATTTTAAATTTTAATACAATAAAGGAATTTTTCTTTAACATTTTCATAAATATTTAATGAGTATAATAAAAAGTTAGATTATTAAAATAATTTGTAAATAAGAAAAAATTATATTAAATTAATTAAATTATTATTCTTTTAAAACTTATAATAAATTTTATAAAATATCTATTAAATAATTATATTAAATAAAAAATAGAAGAAAAAAAAAAAATTTAGTCAAAATTAAATAAAATAAAGAATAAAAAAGTAAAACCAAATAAAAAAAAACCAAATAAAAAAAAAAAAAAAAAAAAAAAAAAATAAAGAAAAAAAAAATGGAGAAAAAAGAAAATATAATATGAAAATAAAAACAAATATTTATTTATATATAAAAAAAATATTATTTAATTTATAATTAAGATTTTTGTTTATATCTGTGCAATAAATAAATATATTACATATAATATTCTAAAAAAGTTGAGTCCTCTCATACTTTTTAATGACTTTTTTATTTTTATATTTTTATATTTGGAAATCGAAACACTTTTAGAAGCTATTTTTATATAATATAATATATTAGAAAGGAAAAAATACCTTTCGATGTAAATTGTTTTTGAACAGCTAATATTTCTTTTATTATTAATTTTCTATTTCTTTTTTAATTTTATTATATTTTAAAAGTATCTTTTAAATAAATAAGATATTTTATAAAATAAAAAAATAAATTTATTATACTTTTCATGCTCAATATTTCTAGCTTTTTATAATTCATTATTAGTTTAAAATATTCTTTATTTTAAAGTATTTAATTCTTAAGTTTGTTTTTATTTCAAAATTCTCATTTAATTTATTAATTTATTAGTTCTTAGTATTACTTGTTAATAGATTTTTTTTTTTCTATTTTTTTTAAATGCTCTATAATAAAATGTTCTCATATATTTTTATAGTTTTTTTTTTCTTGATAGAGGATTGAAAAAAAATTACAGAAAAAATAAAAAAATCTAAAAGCAAAATAGATTGAAGAAAATAAAGTAAAAAAAATTGTTGAAGAATTTAAAATAAAAATATATTTAAATTTCGAAGAATTTCAAAATATCGCTCCTTTAAAAGAAGCTAATATTTCAGCTAAAATCTTAGTTCATTTAAACATATAAAATAGCAAATTAGTTTTGTGAAAAATCTTTATATTGGTAGATTTTTATATTTAAACAGGTACATTATAAATATATTATAAAAAATTTAACTAATGTATTTTTTAAAAAAATATAGAAAGAAAACTTTTTTTAATAAAATTGTTTATCAAAGTTTAAAAAGCTAATATTGTGAATTTAGAATATACACTTTTAAATTAAAAACTGCATAATACGGTAATATTATATTTTTTAATGAAAAATTTAATTATATTGTAATAAAATAGCTATCTTTTTGAGAAATGAACACATAAATCCTATTGTTAAAAAGTATACTAAATAAGAAATAATTAATTTAATAAATGAATAAACTCTAAGATAATTTAATCAAAATTTCTTTTTAAATAAAAATATAATCAATAAAATCAATTAAAAAATGTTGAAAGTATAGTTTATTAAATATTATGTATTTACAATTAATGATTTAAATGTAATATTATTTTATAAAAAAGAATAATAATTAAATATATAGAATATTCTCTTTTATATAAAAATTTAAATTTAAATAAATCTATATTAAGCTTTAATTTGCTTTGTAAATACTAATAATAGTCAAAACAATAAAATTTATATAAAAATAATTAATTATATATTAATTATTCATATTAAATATTTTTTTAAAAATTATTTATAAAATAACAAAATAGGAAAAGGAACTAATAAAAAAAGAAAGACATCTAATTTATTTTAATTAACATATTAAAATAAAAAATTAAATAAAAAATAAAAAAAAATATAATTAAAAAAATAATACATTAATAATTTATATTTTAAAATTTTATAAAATTTTTATAAAATAAATTAATTAGTTTTATATAATTATTTTTAAAAAAATATATAGAATAAAAAAAATAAAAAATAAAAAAAATTTAATATTTTTAAATATAAAAAAAAAAAAATAAAAAAAAAAAATATATTAAAATTATATTTAAAAATATTATATAAAAATAATTATATTATTATATATTCAATAAATAAAAAAAAAATCCTATAATAAAAATAAATAAATAAATAAAAAAATAAATAAATAAATAAATTAATTTATTTATTTTATTTCATAATTTATCATTTTTTTATCAATTATATATTATTTATTCAAATTTTTATTATATTATTTAAATACATTTTTTTTTTTTTTTAAGTTTTTATTTTAACTTTATTATTTTTTTTAAATAAATTATATAAAAAATTTAAAATGTTTATATTATTATATTATAATTTCATTTTTATTTTATATATTTAATTTTTTTTATTCCATATATTCAATTAAATGCAATTGTTTATTTTCTATCATAAAAGATTAAAAAAGAGCATATAATAAAAGTTTATATTAATCCAAAAGCATAAGTAACAGGAATTTAAGTATTTAAAATCAAAAAATCTTAAAAACCCATAATTAATCCTGATATAATAATTAAAGCTTTTCTAGTTTTTTTTGGTTTTTTAAAAATTATCTTTATATAAATAAAATAAAAATTTAATTAATGTATTAAAAAATTACATAAAAAAGCTAATGATTTTTTTCATCAGGAGCTATACTATTTTATTTGCCTATAGCTTAGTAAAAATTTTATTTATATGTAACAATAGAACCTTTTTTGTAAATAAAATTTGATTTCCATTCTAAAATATTTAAACTTTAAATTATTATAAAAATATATATATTTAAAGTTTATTTAAAGAAATAATTATTGAATATATTACTTATTTTATTAAAGAAAACATTCTTTTATTTTTTTCCAACATCCTTATTTTTTTGCTTTTAATTTATTAACCATTCCATTATTAATTAATATTTCCATACTAAAAAACAAAGCTAAATTTAAAGTAGTAATAAAAGATATTAAAATTGCTGAAAAATAATCATAATTAATATTTATTTATAAACATAAATAAGGCAAAAGCGAACTAAAGTACAAAATCTCTTATATCTTGAATATATTAGCTTATTTATATGAAAATATTATAAAAATAAAATAATAAATAATTACATTTCATTAGAAAAGTTAAATCATTTAAAAAATTATAATTATTCTCTTATTATGTAATATATCTTCCAAACATAAAATATATCAAATGACTTTAAAAATAAAAAATATGAATTAAAAAAATAAAAAATAATTTATTATACTAATAATAAATAAAAATAATAGACTAAACATCTGAAGAACTTTTTGTTATTTAATATAAAAGATATATTATATTAAAAGCAATCAAATAATAGATCACTTTTATATATTATGTAAATGGCATTAAATTTAAAGGGTCTTGTATTTCAATATACTTTCTTAATTTGGAAAGATATCTTCTAGTAATTATTAGCAAAGAATAAAAGAAAAGCTTGAAATTGAAAACGTAAATGTTCTTATATTATTTTAAAATAAAATTTTATTTTTATTATGTACTAATTTGTATATGCTAAAGTATTATGTCATTATTGTTAAAATGCATATAAAATAATATATAGTCTCAATTTAAACTTTTTCGAATAACTTGCTATTTATTTTATTTATTGTTACATTTAACTAATCTGTTTATTGATTGCTATTATCAATTTTTTTTTATAATTTGCTCATTTATTATAATAAATTAAAAAAAGAAAAATAAAGGTCAAAAAATTAAAAATTATTATTAGCAAAATATAAAATTAAAATTATTGAATATTTAATTTAATAATTATAGCATTTAAATATTAATATTGATATCTATTAATTTTATTATTTATTTTTTATTATCATTTTTTTGATTTTTAATTTTATATAAAAACTTATATATTTTTTTATAAGAAGATATTTAAAAAATAATTATATATTTTTAATAATTCATATATTATTATATTTTATTTTTATAATTACATCAGTTTTTATTTTATTTTGTATTAATAAGATTTTTTATAGAAAAAAAAATTAAAAATTTATATATAATTAAAATAAATAGTTATCTAAATATATAAATTACTGAAAATAATAAATACTATTTATGTAAAATAAAGAATTAATAAAAATTAATTTAAAAGAAAGTTAGTCTTTAATAAAATTAATTATAAAACAATATTATTTCCAAGCATTATATAATTATTTATATATATATTATTTAAATAAAAAATTATAAATTTTATGTTTCTATTTTTCTGTAAATTAGATATACTATAAGATTTTTTATTTTTAGTATGATTAATATTCTTATAAAATTATATAATTTAAATTTTTTCATTTTAATTATAATTTATTTATTATACTTATAATGCGTAATAATTAAATATAAATATATTAAATAATATATATAGTATAAAATAATTGAATATAAAAATATTATTATTATTTATTTTATAACATATATTAAATAATTTTATGATATAAAATATTATTTTATTTAATTAAAAAATAAAATAAAAAATGAATTAATAAAAAGTATGTATAGAAAATATACTAACTGAAAATTAAGAATACAATCAAATTAATAATGAATAAATTTAACTAAAATAATATGTAAGATAAACAATATTTTTTACTTTTTAATTTTTATTTTGTAAAACAAAAAAGAATCAAAATGAAAAAAATTTATCTTATTCAAATAAAAATCCGAAAAATCTTGTTAAAGAATAAATATAATAATATTTATAAGAATAAAACACTAAAAAAGAAATTAAAATGTAAGAGTAAAACAAAAATGAGTAAAAAACTAATGAATTTCGTCTTGATGACAAAACTTTTGATTTAGGAATATGCTTTATTTTTCGATTTGTTTTTCTAAATATTACAAAGCTTAATTATTTATTAAATAAATATGTTCTTACAAAAAACTAAGCTTTAGACTTATAACATGTACCTTAATTAAATAAAGATAGTCAAATTCAAAATTTTGTACCTTTATTCGAAGAATATTTGAATAAATTAAAAAATAAAGAAAAAATAACTAATAAGGATATGTATAATATGGTATGCTTTGTGTTTAAAAAGGAATTTATAATAATACATATTTTAGTATTAAATAATATAATATCAAAATAAGTAAGCTCAGTAGCAATATAGTATACAATAAATGAATTTATGTTGGGAAATAATAAAATGGCTTCATTATATGCTTTCATTTTATTTATTTTAACATTTTCAACTTTGGTTTTATAAAACTAATCTTTTAATAAAGTATAAATTGTTTCTGCATAAATAAGAATGAGTTTAGTAAATATGTTATATAGAAAAACAATTAGTATGTCTAACTATTAAATTTAAAAATTTGATGTTGGTAAAATATTTAATATGATTTCTATTGATTTAGATTCTATTGAAATAATGCTTTATTTTCCTTTTATTTTAATTTATTTCCCTGTTATTATAATTCTACTAAGTATAATATTATATGATAGATTTAAAGAATACGGACTATTATGTGCTTTAATAATAATTATATGTATTCCATTATAAATTTATAATGGAATGATAACAGCTAAATATAATACTTAAAAAAATAATTTTTCTGATTAAAGAATAGTATAAGAAAAAATAAATATTATTTATTTATTTATTAATTTATTTATTAATTATTTATTTATTTATTTATATTATTTATTTATTATTTATTTATTATTTATTTATTCATATATTTTTTAAATAGAAATTTATTAATGAAAGCATCGAAGGAATTCGACTTATTAAATTATATGGTTGGGAAAATATATTTTTAGAATTTATTGATGCCTTTAGATAAAAAGAATTAAAGTTAGCATTAAAATTAATTTGTATTAGAATTTTAGATAGATCATCTTCTTTATCAATAGTTTTAATTTCTTGTTTTTTACCTATTTTAATTGCTCATTATAATGGTTTTCAATATATTACTAGTGCAAAAATATTTGCTACATTAGAACAACTTTTTAATACCAAAAATCTACTTTTTTTTGCTGGATTAGGTCTTTTTTTTATTTTTTAAGTTTAAGTAATTTTAAATCGTTTTTGTGAATTTTTAAATATTGATAAATAACATTTTTGCATGCTTATTGATAATACAGATTGTGTAGATGAAAAAATTAAAAATTAAGATACATAAATATAAATAGATTTATAAAATCAAAATATAACTAAAATTAATAATGATAAGTTTAGATAAATAGAATAAGAGAATATATATTAACAAAGGGATCTAAAATCTTAAAAATATATATAGTAATATTACGCAATTTAAAAACCATTAAATATCATAAATGCTATTGAAATAAAAAACTTTTAAGGATTTTGGTAAATAGACTAACCTCCAGTATTAAAAAATATAAATGTTGATATCTAAAAAGGTTATTTTTATGGTATTGTAGGTAAAGTTGGAAGCGGGAAA